TTATTATAATATGTCACATTGGATGTTTTAAGTTTAGTAGTAAAGTGTTGCAAGCTTTTGAAACAACACATTAGGTTTCTGTCAAGCATATGTTGCATTTTATTAGGTCTCTAATTTAATTCTAATCTATCATTTTATATTTATTGTAATTCCTCAAATGGATTCACCTGAGCACTAGCAATCCAACTCTACATAAAATACATACATATAGTTCAACATAATAACATATTACACTAATAAAATAAAAACAAACCTGGTACTAAAATCTCCAATTTAAAGAGTTAAGCTGATTAAAAAAAAACATGAAAAATATATTTTTTTTCCTTTCCTTATTTCAGTTGTAACATTAAAACTCAACTCTTGCAAAAAACAATTTCTTTTGTTTTGATGGCGTGCAGAAGGGTTAAAGCCTCTGTCAGTTTTTTTTATTGTCCATTTAAAGCCAAGCACAAGCAAGAGATAAAAATCACCCAGTCTCGCTCTCCTCGAACACATCTGCTGTATGATCATGCTCAGAAGGAAAATAAATTGGACAACGTCCCAAAATACTCTTCTCTTTCTTGCAATAAGCAATGCCAGTCGTATCTGACAGTGCCCCTTTCCACCTCCCTTCTCCCCTTTTCAAAGCCGCAATCGTGTGTACTCTAGGCAGCCGAGAGTCATACCTGAGGGCGGTCTTGCTTGTACACACATGCCCACCCACTTTTAGATGTCTGTTGGCAATACTCCTGAAACACTCTCTTGTGGGCCTGGTGAAAATGCACTTTTTCACCTCTACTCAGCAAACTCTGGTTTTATTTTTTAAAAGGGAGATCATATTTTCACAGCTACCATAATCTGTAGCATAGAGACACACTCTCCATTCAACTGCAAAATTATAATAATAATAATAATAATGCATCACCAATACATTTGTACTATAGTATTACAGTCCTTAGTCTACCACTTCTATGCAATGACCACAAGAAAAATAAAATGGAGGAGGCTAGAGTGCTGATTAAAAAACAAAACAGATAATCATACCAGCAGTGTATGGGTTACAAATATAGTGCTGCTTTATTTCAAATACAAACTAAACAGTGCAATTCCGTGGCGGCACTGTGTATTTACATATCACGCACATACAGACTGAGGAATAAATGTGCGCCTCTGTTTCTGGGCTCACAGTAGTCATTTAATATTGACTTACTGGAACAACGGGGTCTTTTTTGGTGAGACGAGAGCGAAGACCCCACGTGCCAGGAAATCTGATTTACCCAGTATGATGTATAATGCTCATTGGCTAAATCTGCGGCCACAGACTTCCATCTGTGTTCCAGGGGAAAAAAATCAACTTTCTAATAGTGCATAACAAATGTACACCTGCTCCCAAGTCATCAACATTCATAAAAATAACAGCAAATGTGCTAACAGCGATATCTGACACGTCTAGGAAGGTGACAGTTTGGTGACATACACGACGAAGGTCTGTAGATGGTTTTTGCCTGGCATGCCTTGTATAAGAAGTAAAGCAAAGCCACATGTACATCACCTGCATACTGTACATGGGGTCATATTGTCAGACTTAAAATATGCTGCATAAAAAGTACACAGAATTTTTTTCCTCTTAAAGGTAAATTATGGTGATAAAAAAGGTGAATAATTCAAATGAATGGACAATACACTGCCTACCAGCTCAGAGCTTTTAGTTTTCAACCCGGCATTGATGTAAAAACGGCACAATTTACAAATATTTGTTACTAATTAACTCAATAGTTTTATCTTTTAGATTTAGTCAGAAAAGTGTTTTTGTGTGCACTGATACTGATTTTAGTGTGCTTTTATCAATTTAATTGTGTAATTTTATTGGTTTAATATCGATTTGATAAACATTTGCGCAATTATCACAGGACCTACAAAATTAGTTGCACCATCTTTTATTTTCCTGGTCCTGTGCTTTTAGTAAATGTATGGTTTGGGGGGTCTTTTACAACATTTAAAAGCAGCAGTTGAAAAATACAAACAAAAAGGTGAAAAATTGCAAAAATGGTGTGGCCAGCTGAGGTCAAAAGTGGAACACAGGGCTTGGCAGCGAAAGAGTTTGAATTACACAGAACTCAGATAAAGGTAACCAATGATATCTGACAATGGCCCAGAAGCAGTGTTTCCTCTTGCTGATTTAGCTGTGTTAAAACTTGAGCTCCTGAACTCTGTAAACATGCCATTTTCTGTCATAAAGGTTATTTAAGGACTAATTAAAAAAATGCCTCAAATAGGGGTAACAAACAACAACAAGTAATTTCAATATGATTCGGTGTATGTAGACCACAGATTAAACAATAGCTTGCAATGCCAGGCTGCAGTAAACAAAGCAAGCAGAGTACTGTCTTGTATTAAAAAGGGAATGTACTGTAGAGACAAGTCTATAATTCTGCCACTTTATAGATCACTGGTTCGGCCTCATCTGGAGTATGCAGTCCAATTTTGGTCACCAATCCACAGAAAGGATGTCCTTGAGCTGGAAAGAGTCCAGAGAAGGGCAACCAAACTAATTAAGAGGATGGAGGACCAAAGCTATGAGACAAGGTTACTAGACTTAAACATGTTCACTCTGGAGGTGCGGAGAATAAGGGGGACATGATTTTCATGTACAGGATGCTCAATGGTGATAGCAACATCAGCGATAAGCTTTTTACGGTAAACTCCATGACAAATACTAGAGGCCACCACATAAAATTGGTGGAGAAAAGATTTCATCACAAGGGGCGTAGGGTTTTTTTCTCAGTTAGAGCAGTTAGGGTCTGGAACTCGCTGTCACAAACAGTGGTATCAGCTGGGAGTGTTGAATCGGATGATTTCCTCAGAGACCATAACATACAGGGGTACAGGTATCCTTAAGAACAAGATCACACAGGGACTCATACACACGTAGACACGCTATGGGTTGAACTTAATGGTCCTGTGTCTTTATTCAACCTTAAATACTATGTAACTATGTACTATACTACTTTGGTTTGGGGTCAATTTGTAAAATGTTAGGTTTTTATAAAAAAATTCCCTTTTCCCTGTAAAATTGAGCCCAAACCAATATAGATTTCCTGCACAGTGCTTCATATATTAAATTTAAATGTAATTTTCACTCCTTCACTAGAAATATTAAAAGCAAAATCTGACTGGTTCCTAATGGTAACACAAACAGTTCTTCTTTCATAAATGAGACGCATGACAAGACATGCCAGCAATGCTTTAAGCCCTATCAGATTAAGTGAAAATAGCGTTCTGCATGATAAACTTCCTCACAACACTTGATATCATGTGACTGGCTGTTCAACTTCACCTAGTGCAGCATCCTGTACAAATTAGGTTAGCTGTGTTCTGAGGTTTACATTGTGTCCTCCAGCTATAAAAAATCACGCTGCAACATTGTTGCTGGAGGCTATTGTTCAAAAGAAACTTCAACAAGAAGTTTTGCAAAAATATTTAAACTGTTTTGGACTGTCACATGGAAAAGGTGTACTTTTTATCTGTCCACATACAGTAATCACGCAGGCAATTGAAAGAAATAATATATGCTACATAAAGGAATCCATTTTTTATATTATTATTATGTTTCACAGTTTCTAGGTGGAACAAGCTGTTGTAGAACTCTGTTACTTTTGTTGCTTTAAATAGTACAACCCAACCACATGAATTACACACATTACAGTGCCTGCAATAAAATGTTAGCTTGCTTGAATACTGTGAAAAAAACACTTTTAGAGTTATTCACTTGAAGGGTGAAGAGTGTGGAGAACACAGGAGAAGTGACCAATCTAGGACAGCATATCTGATTTGGAAAAATTCTCCAATTCAGCTCACTTTTCAGTTCAGCTATGTTGTCCTAGATTGT